CCTGAAGCACAGGAGAAGACTTTTCTCATTTCCTTCTCACAAATGGATGGGGGATACTATCTTCAGAGATGAGCCTCAGAAGATGGATGATTTGCCATTTAATCCTGACCTCTGGTTAACACTAGTTCCTGTTTTTGAAAGTTTGTTCCTGTCCCTTACAGTAAACCTTGTTCTGTAGGGAGAGTCCCTAGCTCAGCGGCAGCTCTCCCTCCTTGGTCCAGCAACATCTTTCCTCACTGTGGTGTTTAGCATTCACTTTGTAATTTTTTGACTGCTATAGGGACCCTGGGAGCTAGTGAGCTCCAGGAGTTAGTGGCACTTTCCCGCTTTGCTTTGTATTCCAAATTTCTCCAGTCATTGAAGGCCTAATAAAACCTAACTCTCTTATGCAAGGCTACTTTCCTTTCTAAAATGCACCCAGGCACAGAAATTTGCAGATTGTTTTGAGATCAGAATAAATTGCTGTTTGTCTTGGAAGACATCAGGAGTTGGCATTGTTGGTTCTTGCTCAGTTACCCAGGCTGGCCTTAAACTTGTGATCCTCCTGCCTTAGCCTCTTGATTAGTTGAGATTACAGGTGTGTGCCACTCATTCAGTTAGCATTTAGTTTTACCATCTATATTAAAAAAATTTTTTTCCCTAATTTCATGCATGATCCTTGGCAATAGCTGCAGCAGCTTGCTATTATTTACTAGATATGTACTCGAACCATAGATAAATAAAACTACCTATTTGAAGTAACTTTTTATTTGTTTTTAAACTTGACTTTATTTTGTAGAGTAGGTTCACAGCAAAATTGAATGAAAGATAACAGCTATTCCCCACACCCCTCCCCTAAACGTACACAGCCTCTACTGTTGGCACCCACCACCAGCATGTTATGTTTGCTACAATTTATGAACTTATGTTGCAAATTCCCTAAAATTCATCATTTACCTTAGGGTTCATTCTGATTTTTTTTTTAAAGGGGCTATCTTTTTTTTTTTTTTTTTTTAAATAAATAGTAAACAGAGTAAGGACTGTATTTTGAAAAGCAGTTTGCATTGAGAAGATCTAAGGTGTTGTACACTTGGGACCTTTCTGTGACCATATGGCATTTACCTATAAGTTTTATAATATTCATGTTATAAAGTGAATGGGACGAAGCCCCAAAGAGCCACATGGGGAGAATCAGTTTCTTGGAGCCAAGCATTGAACAGAAAAGGAGATGGTTCCGAGTGGATTTTGCGTCAAGTCTGCAGTATGGTGGCATATTTCAATCCCAGCTCTATCCGTGAGGCGCAGGGAGCTGAGTTTTGTTTGAGGTAGAACTATATGGCTATTGGGTGGTTAAAAGGGGGAGCTTGGCAGTTGTGCTGTGGATTCTCGGAGAGCTTAAAAATAATGGATAATTCATTGACTATTAAAAATGTTTAAACTGAAAGGAACTAAGAGATTGCTAATCGGTCTGGTTAATCTCAGACAGATTGTTACCTGGGGAAAGTTTAGGCATAGTACTTCCTAAAGGTAAGGGTCATCCCAAATGAGTGCCTGAAAGTTCTTTCCAGAAGCAGAGATCTAGATGTCACAGGCTTTAAACCCAGGAAAATGATGTGTGTGGGAGAGGTGGAAAAGTGCTAGCTCTGGAGGAGTATATCTTCTAAAGTGTGTTAATATTTTTATTAGTATATTAAAATAAGAACAAATGACTGTGGGTGTTGAAAGAAAGGAATCCTTGTGTTGAGAAGGGTCTAGAGAAGTTGATTAAAAGAGGCAGCAGCATTTAAATAGAGCTTTAGAGAGTAGGTACGAACATGTTTATTACCTTCTTTTTAACTTTTGGTTTTGAAAATGGACAGGAAAGCTAAAAGAGTTGCAGTAGATATCTGTATGCAGATATTCAGACAGCTGGATTCAACAACTGTTAACCGTTTTTTAGCATTTGTTTCAATTCTGAATTTTTGTATATGTTTTAACCATTTTAAAGTTGGGGCAGGCATTTTATCCCTGCTAAAGGCCACTGCCATCTCCTAACACCATTCTTCTCCATAACGACAATCCACTATCAAAAATTCAAGAAAATTAACAATAACACATTGGTGTCATCTCATTTCTATTTTTAAGTTTTTCTAGCAGTCTCATTTAGCTTTGGTAGCTCCCCCCTACCCCCCACCAAAAAAACAAAAACAAAAAACCCTTGATTTAACCAATCAAGATGGGCACATTGTATTTTATTTTCCTGACTCCTAAATCTCTTCTATTCAAAGGCAGCCCTTTCTGCCTGCCTCTTCCAGCTCCTTTCCCCCATTCAGTTTTTGTCCCATGATATTGACTTTCAGAAGGACCAGGCTGATTTTCTCACAACTTTTTTTTTGTTGATATCTTATCCTATAAGCTTCTTGCAAATGGAAGATTTAGAAAGTCTTTTTAAAACTCAGAATGGGGTGGGGTGTGGTGCCACCCACCTGTAATCCCAGTGACTCTTGGGAGGCTGAGGCAGGAGGATCACAAATTCAAGGCCAGCCTAAGCACAACTTAGTGAGACCCTGTCTCAAAGTTAAAAATAAAAAGGGCTGGGGATATGGCTCAGTGGTACAATGCCCCTGGGTTCAATCCCTGAACCAAACAAACAAAAAAAACCAACCGAGAATAGGTATTTTCTAAGAAAAATGCTACCAGATTGTTGTTAGCCATGCATGTAAAGATATTGCTCCTGACATAATAATTTTGCTCTGCAAAATAATCTTTATTTACAAAAATAATATAGGACAGTCGGAAGACACTGGAACAACTAAAATATACATAAGGCTAGAGTTCTATTTAATATCTTCTGATATTAGTATCTACTGATATTAATATTCTACTGATATTACCCTGTGGTGGTAATTTTGCTAAACTTACATTCTTTCCTGTGTACATGTCTTATTTATTCTGACTACTGCCATCATCTACACACATTGCCGGTGCAGAGTTTTATTTCACTAGCTGTGCATTGTGAACGTGGTCCTGTAGCATAAGTTGTGGAGATTGTTTTTGATAGGATAGATATGCAACAAGCCAGCCACATTCCTGCATGGGTGTTTAAGGTGAGACACACCCAAATATATTTAAGTGCCTGGCCCAAGATTAGAAAAATGGTTTGTGATCACAGAGCAAATAGTTGTCTCTGTTGGAGGTTCTCTGACTAATGGAGGCATGAAATCCTGGCCTCTCTGCCCTGTGCTTCAGTAAGTCGAGGGGAATTTGTCAGTCGTAAACACTTCAGGGCTGTATATTTGGATTCTGGGCTACCGTCCCTTTCTTTTCCTTTGGGTGGATCTCTCCATATTTCTGTACCTATCAGGAGATCAGGTCGGGCTACCTTGGAGGTAAACACGATGCGCTGCCAATGAGAAGTAAGTTAGAAATGTTAATAGATTTCACCAAGCCAAAGTCTCTAGCACATGTATTTTAAGCCATCATAAAGCATATACCTGTCATGTTAAGGAATGTGCCAAAGGCAAGTATCAAAAGACCTGCCGTGGGAGTGCAGGAGTGTGTTTTGCTGTGTTATAGCTTATGCCCTGACAACCTCCCGGAGGCCTGGGGGCTGGCAGGGAGTGGTCTATAAATATCGAAGCCATCTTATTTATTAATCTAAGAATTCCTGCAACTATGAGTTACTCCTGTTTGTCCTCCTGAGTGTCCCGAGGCTCAGGGATATTTCTGTGTTGGTGGATAGAGGGAGGGGGGTGAAGCATGGGTGGGTCTGCTGGAGTTGGGAAATCCAGTTCACCAAACAAATGAGCTAGAGATGGTCCTTGAAGCTTAACGGAGAACAGACCATTCGGATAGAAAAGCTTTCTGGATATTTCTGGGTTCTTTGAAAGATGAGTTTCACGAACCTCCCAGCCGGAGGATTGCGTTTGCAGGGTAGAACGGTAAAGCTGCTTTTGTTGTTGTTATTTTATTTGGTGTTCTCCATGGCAATGAAGTCATCCTTCTCATTTGGTGGGACATCAGGGTGCCAGTAAATCTTATTATTAGTTAATTTGAATTATCTGTGATGTTAGTCACAGGGTTTTTTGCATCAGGCATTTTTTGGGGTAAAGGAACAAAATGATGGTAGGATGGTTCCACACATCTGTCTAAATATTTGTTGAAAAAAAGGACAAAGAGTTGTGTACTTAAGAATCACAGATTTTAGGGGCCAGGAGTGTAGCTCAGTGATAGAGCATGGGCTTAGCATGTGCCAGGGTTCCTGGGTTCAATCTCCAGAAACCCCTCGAATATATATATATATACACACACACACACACACACACACACACACACACATACACACACACACACATACACAGATATATTTTAAATTATTTTTAAAAAGAGGAAAGTAGCTGATTATATGAAATGTGTATTCCTACCATTTCACATCATCCTAAGTAAATATAATATATAATGAAATAAAGATAAATGTTAAAAATAAAAGCTAAAGACATTAATTAAAAAAAAAAGAGGAGGTAGTGTTACTAAGAGCGAGGAGGAACAAGATCAGATTTTAAGTTCAGCGAGGTAATGAAATCACTGAACTTCTTTTCATCTGTAAAGAAATTTATTCTCTAGGAAGGTTCATGAGATTAAAACGAGAATATAGAAGTTAAAGTGCTCAAATTATGCTCCTAGTGCTTTTTACGAGCAGATAGTATTGTGGAGTGGGAAAAGCATGTGAGTTGAAGTTGCATGGACGCTGGTTTGAATTCTGGCCTTGCAGTGAACACTGTTGAGTTGGTCTGAACTCTACATCTTCAGCTTGAAGTGGCTTTTTATCATAGAAGCCTCATAAAATAGGGCAGAGCACATGGCCTCCACCAAAACCCTCAGGAGCTTAGAGTTCCTGGTGCTGGGACCTGGCTGTTCACCTGCCTCTGTGTGTGTGTGCGTGCGTGCGTGTGTGTGTGTGTGTGTGTGTGTGTGTAGTATGTACCACACTATTGAGACTTCCCTTCCAGCACATGACCGGGCTCTTTCTTTTCTTTCTGCAGCTGTCTTCCAGAAGGCCACACTGGGCATGGACACCGCTTTCTATACCTGCAGGAGCACAGGGGGTAGTGTGATCACCCGGTCACAAAACTGCTAAGGCCATCTCAGGGGCGTGTGCGCCAGGACAGGAAGGCGGCGTCGGAGGGCCACAGAACCATGCCTTTTGGTCTGAAGCTCCGCCGGACACGGCGCTACAACGTCCTGAGCAAGAACTGCTTCGTCACGCGGATCCGCCTGTTGGACAGCAATGTTATTGAATGCACACTGTCTGTGGAAAGCACGGGGCAAGAGTGCCTGGAGGCTGTGGCCCAGAGGCTGGAGTTGCGGGAGGTAAGGCGAGTGTGAGTGGACACCGTGCCCATGCGTCGGGTGGGCATAGGAGGAAGAAATCCCTAGTGGACCCAGCCAGCTGTTTTTTGGCACCTGCCATGCCCTTTAGCCCAAGTGCTGTGTTCATGAGATCCTGTTCTTAGCATGAGAGTGATCTCAGACTTCAGTGGGTCAGACCTGAGCGGAACAGGGACCCTGCCTGGAGCTGCCACAGGGTGGGAGATCCCAGTTGTTCCCACCAGAAAGGAGGTTTGCTGGGAGGTAAAAATGTGAGACTCTCCCCACCAAAGTCATTTTCTTACTTTGAAACAATGAGTGGGTAGTTGGTATCTTGGCATCTCCGACACAGATCAAGGAGAAGACGCCCACATTCAGAATGGGTGCAGCTGCTCTTCTGTTTGTTTGTTTCTATATTTTCCTCTTGAAGAAGAGAAAAAGCATTTAAAGTGAGCGTGACCAGTGAGACTTTGGGGAGGGATTGTAAAAGGAGGATTTGTTCCTTTTAAGATCCTCACGGACCTGGGTTTTTTCATACCGTCTGTGAGACTGCTTGGACTTCAGGCATCTTGAGGGCTGACCATTTAGAAGGTCACGTCGTCACTCTTTAGAAGAGACCTGGGGCAGCACAGGGGCTCTGTGTTGTTCATGACCTACAAGCCCTGCTTTTCTCAGGCTTATACTTACAAACATTCAGGACAAGAGGCACAGACGTGTGTGTCTGGGTCTTGACAGCCTGGTATCCTGGCTGGTGGGTGGGCAGAGGAGGTGGGCGGGATGGCAGTCAATGCTGACTGCTGCAGGCCCCAAGGTGCACGGTCCTGAGCATCAGAAAATGCTTTGCAATCATCTGAGGCTCTCATGGGGTCCAGGGGACAGCACTGCCCAGGACTGTAGGTGACAGAGGAGGTGATGGTCATTGTTGGGAGTGAGCATATGCGGTTTCTTTCCCTCTGCACAAAGGCCCCGTGCCAAAGAGTCCTCCCCTCCCCTGCCCACCCCTGTGCTGTTCCCTGGGAGACTGGTCCACCTGAACCCTCTGTCTCCTGCTGTTCTTTGTGTTGAGACTTTGGATGCAGTGGTCCTCCGTCCTTTGAGGTTTGCTTTGCAGTGCAGAAGCCTGTTCTAGACCAGAGAAGGGGAGGTGACACAATAGAGGCCACATGTGAAATGTCCTGCCTTGATGATGGGTAGCACATTAGGATTTTGAACAAACACACGCGCGCGCACACACACACACACACACACACGCAAGCACAGGCATAAAGGAAAAACCCTGATATTGCTGAGTAGTTGGGCAGTAGGCTCTAAATTCTTGGAAGAAATTTAATTATAGCACATTAAAAAGACATGAAGTTTTTTTTTTTTACTTTTCAGGACTTTAAGTCACTCATGTTAACTGTGTATTATTTGTAGGCATTGATAGCATGTAGCTAAGTAGCTATAAGCACAGGCTCGTATTGCTTTTTTTGGGAGGGGGTGCTGGAGATGGAACCCAGAGGTGCTTTACCTGAGATACAGCCCCAGGTTTTTTTTCATTTTGAGTCAAGTTCTCACTAAGTTTTTGAGGGTCTCGCTAACTTGCCTTAACTGGCTTTAAACTTTGTGATCCTCTACCTCAGTCTCCTGGGTTGCTGGGATTACAGGCGTGCACCACTGCTTCCAATAGGCTTTGTAGTCTTGAACTTGGGTTCAGAGCCATTATTCTGTCACTTACTAGCTGGGTATCCTTGGAAAAGTTACTGAAGCTCTCTGGGCATTGATTTTCCCACCTGTGATTGAAAACAATGATGCTTACCTAGTGGGACTATTGTAAATCCTGAAAATTTGTGTGGAAAATGTCTAATGCTGTATCTAATAATTTATATTGTTTAAATTTGAATGTCTTAACGAAAAGTTTTACATGGAAAGAAAATATTGAGTCACTGTATTATATCAGGTACTATTTTAGGACTTGATGAAACAAAGATAAATAAGCTACAGTTTTGTCTTCAAGACATGCACAGAACAGTAGGGGAACGTAGCACATGAAAAAACATTCAGATTGAATGCTATCTGTGCTGAAACAGAAATTAGGAGGAGGCCTGAAAAGCGACTGTTCTCCTTAGAGTTGTGCAGTGCATTCACTGACCCACTGACTGCTGCAGCTTGGGAAAGAAAGTCTCAGTGAAAGGCAAACAGAGCCTCTAGTCTTTGAACTGGGACTCCAAGGATACTTACGGATTCAGCAGGTAGAAAAGAGGCAGGCCATTCATCCTGAGCACTCAGAATTGGATTTTAAAAGATTCAAGGATGTGAAAGAGCAGCTACCAGTCTTGGGGGCTGAGAAGGGATCTTGGCCAGTCACCAGGTAGAGCTAGAGTGAAAGGAGAAAGGTGAGGTGTCTGGACATGTGCGCTGTAATAAATACTTGACTCAGACTGTCATGGCTCCTAGTGAGAGGGCAAAGGGCAGCCTCGGATTATCCCACAGCTACGCCTTGACAAAGGGTGAAGTGCAGTTAGATTCCCCTGTCAAGTGTGTGTGGAGCTGTGATTGATGTCCCATTACGAAGGGGGCCTTGCATTTAACACTGGCTTTATTTTGACACGCCCTAAATAAGTCCATCACATTGGAGCAAATCACTTTCTCTTTGAGTTTTGGGCTTTCATTCTATGACAGATAACACTGAAGGTCTGACCTTGCGTAAATCAGTCCTGTCAATATTCTTGAGTGAAAGGGCAGATGGAGTCAGCTGGTGCTTTGTTCTTCATTTACACAGGCACACCTGGAGCAGGACGGCTAAAAGCACAAGTAGCAGGGGAGAGAGAGTACAGGGTCTGTTCCTCAGACCTTGACCTTTTCCAAATAGAGCTGATGGTCCTTTAGAAGAGAAGGTGAAAATCAATCTAAAGTATAACCAAGTGTTTAGTCCTGATGAAGCCTTAGAAACCAGATGATGATGGATATTTGGCCTTGTCATTGGAACTTGTTTAGTTGTATCCTAAATTTTATAATAGCTAATAATTTATAAAGGAAAGGGTTATAGTAGACTTAAAACACTTTTTAAAAACTTTGTGATCTATATTAATTCTTTTACCAGTTAATCTTGTAAGATAGTTGTAAAATAGGCTTCAAAGATTTATTTATTTATTTATTTATTGGTACCAGGGATTGAACCCAGGGAGGCTTAGCCACTGAGTAACATCTCCAACTCTTGCCTATCTATCTATATCTTTTTTTTTCTTTCTTAATTTAGAGACAGATTTCATTGAATTGCTAAGTGCATTGCTAGGTTGCTAAGGCTAGCTTTGAACTTGTGATCCTCCTGCCTCCGCCTCCCAAGCTGCTGGGATTACAGGCATCTTCAAAAAATTTTAAAGACTATCTTTTAGAGTAGTTTTAGGTTTGAGAGGAAGGTATAGAGATTGTACTCCCCATCCCAACTCATGCATAGCCCTTCACCCCTGCTAGTCAGATGTTTGTTAATATAAATGAACTTATGTCCTCATGTCACTATCACCTAAAGCCCTTAGTTTGCATTAGGGTTCACTGTGGCAGATGCATGTTCTGTGGGTTTGGGCAGATGGGTGAAGGCTTGGAGGTGCGCGGCACACTGAGCAGCAAGTTTGTTTCAGGTGTACTGGTGTGCTGCTGGTTCCCACAGCATTCAGAGGGTCCAGGTCTGGTTCATGGGGTAGCAAAGACCTTCGAAGCTGCATGTGAAGGGTGCCTGCCTCCAGGAACTAGGGGAGCAAAGGAATGAGAAACCAAGCCCAGGGTACAGTTCATGCCAAAGGGCAGAAGAGGGAAAGAACACAGAATTTTTAGGACAGGGCAGAGAGTGATTTTCACCATTGCCTTTGTGAGTGTGGAGGGGGTCACGGCAGGGAGAGGCGGGGAGTGTGGTGAGGCAGGTGGGTCTGTGAGTTCTAACTAGATCCTGTAGGGCAGTTTCTAAAATGTATCACAAAGACTTAAAGAGGGTCATCACCTTTTCATGTCCCATGTACCTGTGGAGCACTTTCCCCCTATCAGCTCACTGACATTTCGTGAGTCTGTGCTGTCCCACATTAGAGCTCAGGATGACCTGTATACAGGTATTGTGCTGGTAAATTGTGAGGCTGGTCTAAACTGAGACAGGTGACTCTCCAGGTCTAGTTCCCAGAAGAGTGAAGTGGAGGAGAAGAGTTTTGGTAGAATGTTTTGGGAACCACTCTCTGAAGTTCTACAGCAAGAAGACAGACAAGCAAATGTGGCAGAGCTGGGATGCAGCTCAGTGGTAGAGCGCTTGCCTAGCACGTGCAAGGCCCTACTTCAACCTCTAGCATTGCAGAAAGAGACCAAAAAGGTGTTTGTTTTAGTTTTCACTGCTGTGACTAAAAGACCCCATCAGAACAACTGTAGAAGAGGAAAAGTTTGAGGGCTCAATTTCAGAGGTCTCCATCCATAGACAGCAGGCTCCATTTCTTGGGACTCAAGGTGTGGCTGAACATCATGGCAGAAGAGTGTGGCAGAGGGAAGCAGCTCACATAACGATCAGAAAGCAGAGAGAGAGGTCTCCACTTGCCAGATACCAGGTCCAGAGCCATGCCCCAATTCCCACCTCCTCCAGCCACACCCCGGTTACCACTCAGTTAATCCCTAACAGGGGATTAACTCACTGATTGGGTTAAGACTCTCACAACCCAATCATTTCTCCTCTGAACCTTCTTGCATTGTCTCACACGTGAGCTTTTGGGGGATACCTCACATCCAAACCATAACAATGTTTCACAGTTATTTTAACCTTCTAGTAAATACTCTTAAACTCTGGGGAGTGGGGGGAAATAGAGCAGTGAGATGTGAAGACATCAGAGGACTCCAAGGAGGAGCGTGATGGGATCAACTTTTGTATGAGGAAAAGGACCCAGTGATGAACAGAATGGGGATTGGAAGGGAGGGACAGGAGGAACAGGGACTCCAGTGGAGACCATAGTGATGCTGGCAAGAGGTAATAAGAATGAACTTCTTAGGAAAAAAAA